GTGGCTGGGGAGGCCTCACAATCATGGCAGAAGGTGAAAGTCACATCTTACATGGCAGCAGACGAGAAAGAATTAGAGCCAAGCAAAAAGGGAAACCCGTTATAAAACCATCAGATCTCGTGAGACTTATTCACTACCATGAGAACTATGGGGGCAACTGCCGCCATGATTCAATTATTTCCCACAGGGTCCCTCCCACAACACATGGGGATTATGGGAGCTACAATTCAAGGGGAGATTTGGGTGGGAACACAGCCAAACCATATCAGTTCCCCCTACCCTCCACCCTGGGGTGGGTTTTGCCAGGAATGGTATGCACAGGAGTATGAAAGCTCAGAGTCCTCTTTCTGGGGTGCCATGAGCCAAGGGAGGTAATGTACATTCCAGAGTTCCTCTGTGTGAGAAAGCTAAGGCTAGAATTTTGCTGAGATCACACTGTTGCTCAGCTTCTTCTTTTTCCCATTCCTCTTTCCCTTCCTCCATCAGAGATTTCTCCTGGGAGCACTTTCTTGCTCTGTCACTGCACATGAATATTCATCTCAGGCTCTGCTGCTGTGGGACTTGACCCAGGACTGGAGTCATGCTGACCTTGCATTTCACTTAGATAGATTATACCAGATATGGAGCAGATTACAGAGAGAGGAGAGTAAGTTCATTTTTGGACATGTTGATTGTAAGTACATTTTGATCATTTTATGGAAATATCTAGTAAGTAGTTAGACCTGAGTTAGAAATATTGACTTGAAAGCCATCAGGATTTAGGTGCTGGTTGAAGCCATGAGTATGAATGAGGCTAAATCAGGAGAGTGTACGAAGCATCTAAAACTGAGGACTGGATCATGTGGACATTTTGACGGTTGCAATTAACATGTTCCCCATATAAATCCTTTTCACACAAGTAGCAGTTTACATTTTCATATTCAGAAATATCATATTGTTTGACCTTTACAATAACAAAGGAAGGTGGGAGGCTATATGTAATTATTGTCATTTTTCAGATGAGAAAATTAAGACTCTGAGAATTTATGTGAAACACTCAAAGTCACAACAGTGACAGGACTAGCACAAAATCCAGGTCATTTAGTTTCTAGCGCAGAGCTTTTCCTGCTACTTTACAACGCTTTTGAAAAAAGTGCATTTTTTTGGTATATACTTTTGCCATGTATGGGAAATTGTCTTCTTTGTTGCAGCCTCAGCATTCTTACAGACTCATATTACATCTGCTCTAGCTTTTCTGGTATCCTCATCAATTTATCATTGATCTGTTGCAGGACAACTTTGTTTTCCATAGCCCAGAAAATCACTTCCTTCAGTAAGCCACTGTGAACAAACTGCAGCCCTTGGTGATTTCTTACCTAATAGTGTTGCATGGACTTTATATTACATTCATTCTCACATGTTGATATGCTACTTTGTGTTTCTTTCTTTTCTCATTTTGTATATTTTTGTTTTTATTCTTCCAACTATATTGTAAGACAATCTTTAAAATACCCTCTTTTATACAAAATGAATAAGTTTTCATTATTTTGGGAAATAAAGAAAATAATCTATAATTCTACATTATAACAACTTTTTTTTTGTATATTTTATTTTAGTCATTGTTTTTTCCACATGCTTATGCTGGCATTCCTGATGTTTTCAATTGTTCACCCAGATTGTTATTTGGTGCATAAATCTGTCTTGCAACTATTCTTTTTTTCTTCCTTATTTTATATTACAGTGCACTATATACAATAGGAATGCTGCTGTTGCTTGGGAATTCATTTGATGAGAGAGGGACTTGCAAAAGATGACTCAGATATTTCAGTCAGGTCGAAGATGGTCAGAAAGTAAATGTGCTATGAGGAGATGACTTTTTGCTAATGGGGAGATTTTAACTTTAGTAGAATAAAATGCTTAAAAGATTTAATTAAGCCAATTGTCATCACTATGTCAGGATGACCTACTGGGTGAGCTTGTGTTTTTACTTTCCTGTCCCTACTGAGACTATTTGGACAGCTGGGTGTGTATCAGATAAAGTTTGCACACAATTTGGTTTTATCTGCTTCTTATTCAGCTGTCTAAGCATGATTATGACCTCTTTTCAGAGTATAACATAAAATACTTTCCTGGACTTTGATTAATTCTTTTTTAAGTAAAGAGAGTCCTAACAGGTCACATGCTTCATCTCTAGTCAAGAAACCTTACAGTTAAGGTTTCCAAGTTATTCTGTAAGTTTGTCTGGCTAGTATCCTCTCTTGGCATAGTAACATCATTGTATATAACTACAGCCACACCATTAATCTGAATGTATTAGACTTTCAAACATTCATTCCTCCAGACTATAAGCTGGATTTGCACTTTGCTGGATGACATTTAAGCAGTTTACTTGGACGTAACATATTCCCAGCACAGCATGAAAATGCATTTACTAAGGGCTTTGTGTCTGTGGTTTAGATGAAAATAGAGTAAAGCTTCCTCCCTCTTGAGATGTTTAGATAAGGTTTAATTGATTTTGAAAATACATTAGCATGACCACAATGCTTTAAAACAAATGAACATTTTTTTTTTTTTTTTTTAAATAAAGCAGGTTGCATTGGGGGTTTGACTTAAAAGCTTTGAAGTAGTGAAATAGCAAAGAGCTTTTATTCCTTTTTTAAATAAGAAAGTACAACACGCCCCCAAAATATTTCTAATTTATGTTTATGCTTCTAAAGTTTGAATAGAAATGAACTTGCTTCTGGAAAAAAGGCTTTTTATCATGGGGACTTGAAGTTATGAGCTTTTTCACAGGACAGTGTTGGAAACATATGTCCTTGTTGTCAGACTAATGCACCTTTATTGACTTAAAGCTTAGAAGGAAATCAATACATTTTTGGAGACACATAGGAGATTGCAGGCCTTCAATTTATGAATACGATGAATTGAAATGGTCTTTAGACTGTCTGCATTAGCATCGCCACTTACCAATGTGGTATTGAACATATGGCTTCTTTGGAACAAGTAATGCTGCTCCCCTAGACTCTTGATAAAGCACTTGACTTCAAACTGTGTGCTAACCGACTTCTGCTTAAAACACTACTGAGAGCAGTGCCCTGTAGGTAAAACAGTCTGTGAAACATGGTATCCACTCAGTTCTCCAGGTAATCACCTCTACCTTGAGTTAGAAAGCCCACTAGAAAGTTACATAGTTGTTTTACACTAAGTTATCTTCTGAACAATCACCTTCACAGAATTAAATTTAAATGTTGTATCTTTGGTTGTGTTTGTATCTGGGAGATAATTTTGGTCAAAGACAAACTGTCCATCATTCTGTGTATACAGTGTCATTTGATAAATCTATTTTGAATTTATAACCACGGGGGAAGTATATGTGCCCATTTTTCTCTCTAGCTCTCTTTCTGGCTTTCTGTATCTATTTCTTTTTCTCTCTTAAAATTGGTTTGCTTTCTTCAAACAAATAACTTGAAATATTCAACATACTCATTTTCTTGCCTCTGAGGAAATGTAGAGCAAAATTGAATAGGCAATCACAATAATTATATCAAGCCTCATTCTTAGCATTTTTGCTTTCTTTTGCTCTTCTTATATCTTTGATATGTTATTTTTTCCAGAACTTTGTTATATACATGAATTTTATTTTAAGGTGTCTTAGATCCCTTTTGAGAAGCAGAAAGTAATAAGCAAACTGTTAAGGGTAGGCTAGAAAGAGATGATCAGAGGCCAGAGGATAATGAGTCTATTAACTATAGAAACGTAAAAGGAAAATGGTATTTTTGATTGTCATTTTACTGTCAAGGTGACTGCTTGTGTTTCCAGCCAACAAATGATCATATATTCACTAGCAATACTTAACAAGTCTGGGGCACACCATATAATATACTTTCCTGTATACACTATTGATTGAGAGAAATAGTGGTCATGAATAATTATATGTGGATTTAAAAAGTCCATATATAGAATTCCATTATAAAAGATTGTGAAAGAATATATACAACTAAATATTTGGGCCAAAATAAAAACACCATGAATTGCCATATTATTTGCTTCTCTGGTAAATTTTCAGTAATGGCTTTTATATGAACCAACATTTGTTCAAAGGATATAGAAACTTGGAATCCTTGGTCTTCTGAAAAATATTAGAAATGAAGCTAAAGTAAGTTTAATGAAACTAGAGGAAGACATTATTATTTACTTAAAATATATTTACATACAACCTTTTAAAATTATGTTTATTTCTTATATAAGGTCCTACATATACTCTTGAAATAATGCAGATACTAAGATATGATAAATTTCAAAATGAGAAACATAGAGTTCTCAGGCTCGAATTGGTTGAAATTGGCTGAAATGTTATTTTCTCGAATTGGCTGAAATTGGCTTGAGATGGCCTTTACTCTCCCATTCCTGTCTTTAGCCTTATACAGACATTGCTTCAAACAAGTACAGCTGATAGCAAGTGATCGTGAAGCAATCTTTTCCCCTCTTTCTCTTTCCATTGAAATTACTCTTCAGAGTTATTTCCCTTCCTGGATGAAAAGTGTGGCAGTTTGTGGTCACTTTTATGGAATAGAGTTTTTCTGTCATTGTAACTCATAAGACATGGACTCAGTATTTCAAGGTCCAATCTCATATAATATTCAAAATTTCAATTTTGCTTTAATGTTAAAGCTTCTCTTTTTTCTCTTCTCCCCTATCTTGATGACTGGTTTCTACTTCTCAAAGATCTGAACAAGGGGAGAGAGAAGAGGAAAGGGGCAGGAAAGTTCCATCTGGTGTGGTTGTGATCTAGCTCCTATGCTTTCTAGACTAGAAGGTAATGAAAGCTCACTTTTTTTTCTTGTGGGAGACTTTTACACGGGTTCTTCAGAGACTCCCATCACTGGGGATCCCTCAGTTGAAACTCTCCAGAGATGACAAATGCATCTCTATTTCTGTTAGTTGCTTGATTCTTTCTTAACCCCTTTTCATTAAACAATACCTGATTCCTTCTCTATCTTTTTTTCTCTTCTTTTCTGCAGGATGTACTCACATCCCAACAAACTGAAAATGCTGACCAGTCCCAGCACAGCCAACTTGAATTTGCTCCTCTATCAAAGTGCCCAGCACCTCATTTCTTCCTCTTTAGAATTTATAGGTAAGAGTCAGCAGTCCACCAGGACTCCGTAAATACAGGGTACACAGGAGAAGCTCTTGTTGGGGCCACGTTCTCTAGTGAGAGAGGAGACACTATATTGTCTTAAAGCTTTAAGGTAAAACTTTCCATTTGTCTTTTTATTCGGTGAACGGGAAGAACTACTGGAATGGTTGTAGTTACTGAGTCTTCCGGAATCATAGTGTAAGTTAGTGAAAGTTTATACAGCTGTGACTGCAGAACAAGAAAATAAATGCTGTCAAACTATGCAATATAACATAAGTGTTCAGGTGAAAAAAATCAAGTGGTAGAGAGAGGGAAGAGAGGTGATAAAATAGATAGGAACTCTAAACTATGTACTGTAAAGCTAGAAATCCAGAGAAAATCTCTAGGTTTGAACAAAAATAAATATTAAAATATGTGATTTAAAGTTACAAAGGTAACAGAGATATATATTGTAATAGTGATTTAACTCTAGTAGAAGGAATCAAGGAGGGATTTTTAGTGCTGTGTAGTTGAATCCTGTCTTGTTTAGTTGAAGTAGATAATGTTTGAAATGGATACATTTTAAAATATATTAGCATAAGCATATTATTTAGAGTTTTGAACAGAGAATAGGAGTGAGAAGGTGAATTGAGAGAGGATTGCATTTCATTAGGGTTCTCCCATTTTCCATGTTCTCATCTTTTTTTTTTAAAAAAATGTATGTATAAATTCCTCTAATCAAAGTTAAAATCTTTATTTTTAAAATATATTTTGAAAATTATATATAAAATACATAGATGAGAATATAAATGGAATTATGTAGAAAATATATACACAAAAATATATCATGATTCAATATAAAAAAGTCAAGGAGGTAAATTATTGCTGCAAGATATTAAAATAGTATAAAGTTATGTTATTCAACATGATATAACCACAGGCATCTTCAGAAAGCTCAAAGAAACAGAAAAATACGAAAAGGGCATTTTAATACATATATAAACTAAATATATGAAAGTGAATTACTAAAAAATCTTTGGGGAAGAGAAAGGTTATTTAATAAGTGGGTTTAGGTCATTTTTAAATAAACATGTTGCCTATAACTCTATCCCATTTTAAAATAAATTCCAGATCATTATGAACTTATAAATATTAAGCCATGAAATGCCTAGAAGGAAGCTTTAAGCGTTTGTTTATCTGAGTTATATGTTAGGTAAGACCTTCTATACTTCAACCAAATGGAAGAATTTGCTAAAGAAAGGACAGAGATTCAACAAATTTCAAGGGTTTAAACTGTGTGCATTAATCTAAAAGACAGCAAAGAAAAATAATTACAACAAATATTAAAATGCTTAATATTAATTTATAGAGAACTAATTAAATTAATTTTTATTTTGTCACACACAATGCCAGAATTCCTGCACCAGACATGACAGACATGCTCTTAAAACTCAAAGAGAAAAACCCTGAGACTCCAATAAATAAATGGGCAAAGATCATGCATGCTTACTTCACCAAAGAGATAATACAAATAAATCATAACCATTGGAAATGTATTTGGCTTATTACATGACCAAAGCTTGCAAACAAAAATAAGATTTTAATTATATTAATTAAATATAAAAAGCTGTTTTAAAAGGGAATACCCAATGTTGGCAAGTGTCAAGAAGTGGGTGCTGCAGAGACAGCGGAAAAGTGCAACGTTTTAACCTTTCTAGAAAGTAATTCAGGAAGATGAGTAAAGAGTTTTGAAGATGCTCATATATTTAGGGCCAGAAATTCGATTTGTAGTGTTTTTGTAAGGTAATTCAAACCAGTGAAAAAAAATCGAGACTTTCTAAGTACTCAGCCATGAGGAACTGCCTAAAGTAAGAAATCGTATATTTGATCTAATTGTGGGCATGAAATATGATATTCACATTGAGTTGTGAAATATGTGGACAATGCTTATGATAAAATGTTAAAGCAGAACGCAAAATGATATCAAGTATGGAAAGCAATATGTAGAAAATGCAAGAAGTTATGCAGACATTTTAATAATTTCTCTAGGAGTTGGAAGATGATTTTTAGGTAGTTTGAATATTTTTTCTACCTTGTACTTTCTCCAAAATGAATTTGTGTTATTTTCATATTGAGAACAAAACACAGATAGACACTAAACAGCTAGCTTAAATTCTCGGTTTGTTAGTTGTGGGAACTCGAGCAAGTGACCCCTTTTGTGAGGGGAACATTACAGCTCACCTAGTTTTGTTGGCACTCCACGTAAGTTACAAAAATGATTTTTTGTTTTGCCAACTTCTGGTTCTACAGTCCAGGACATCCCTCATTTACTTGTCTTCATTTCAGCCACTGAATTACATTAATAGCCCTTAAAAATATTTCTCCCATTTAGGGAAAAATTATGCCGAAGATAAGGGAGCAAGTTGATGTTGTCCATCTGGGTTTGTGCCCATTATCTCCAGACCTGGCGTTATTAGCTGAGTTTACAATGTGTACGCTTATTTTCTGGCAGCCTTTAACCTCTCATTGGTCCGTATGTCTCACTTTTTAAAAGAATGTGATCTTTTGACTTCTAATGTGCAAGAATAAACTGAAATTAGACAGAAATGGGACAATCCCCTTTGTAAGAACCCCCAATATTTCTGTACTTGAAAAATAAATTGGATGGCCTTTGACTTGCCTCTCTTGAAGCAGCCGATGTTTATACAAGGTAAGTTCTGTACCAGCTGTCATTCTTTGATACACCCCTTCATAAACCTGGGGCCAAGAGGAAAAAAAAAGTACGGGAATAATAAGAAAAAGTAGAGGGATAAGGCAACTTGAGACTGGATAGCCTGCTAGCAAAAATGACATTGGCTTTCGAGTTTGAAGAGGTTTGTTCTTGAGAAAATGTATTCTAATCAGCTCTCTAACACTCAGGTACCCAGTAAGTTATTGATTCTTTCCAGTTGGGAACATAATGTAATAATATGCTAGTCCATTAAGCCAGAGCTTCATCTTTTGCACAATTCATATTTTAAACTTTAAAGAGGCTCACAACTGAGCTTTCACAAACAGTAGCTGTTTACTTTCTTTCCACTAAAATAATCATTGCAAATACCCCTCTGAGAGTGTATATTTTCAGATGCCAGGTAATCAAAGCTTAGTTGTACTCAGAGGCTTTTTTAGAACCAAATGGAAAATAATTGCGTTAAAGTGCCCACTTGTGAGGATTTCTGCTCATCAGTATAATTGCCAGCATCCACTGTCTTTCTATCACAATAAATTCACAATGATTCATTAGCTTCTATTAGGCGGGATGAAATAGATCATCTTGTTAACATTAACTTTGATTTTTAAATGGCTTTACTTGATTTCATATTGGAATTACAGTTTGCACATAAACTGAAATAATAAATGCCCTCTACCCCACTTTAAAGGTAGTAGAAGAGAATAAAATTAGAACTCAGCCAGCCTTGCAGGATTTAGATATGAGCTCTCAGTGTGGGTATTTACTCTAGGAGTATTTTTATATCTTCTCTTTTGTTAAAGGAATTTAATTTCTTGATTATAAGCCATTGCACAGAGAACCCAGCAGTTGGCAAATAATCTTTAGGATGTGGTACCAAGTACCCTTGTCCAGCCATTTCTTTAGCATCAAATGAATAGGATGATTACTGCAAAAACTCCTAGGTGAGAATGCTTGTCAAAAACTTTGTAATCTTATTTAACAATTCCCCAGATTGATGAGATCATAATTAATGTACCTCAAGACTACTTTGTATATGTGGATATTGGTCAAAGGTTAGCACACCTTTGTGGATTTTAGTTTTTAAACAGCCTGGGAAATATATCCTGTCTTTATCTTTGCCATAAAAATGACTAGTAATTGACTACTTGCATCAACTACCTTGATGGGATCCTGTCAACTCACTGAGGGGTCAACCGTAGCTTTCTAAGGTCAATAGAAGTGGGCATCTCAGTCTCTCCCAAGTTGGTGAGCATCCAGAGTGTGTGGATCACCAAGAGCCCACCTAGTGACAGCCTCTGGGCAGTACTGTCCACATTCCTACTCTGTCTCAGCCTCCTCCACCAACCAGGGATCCTGTCCTCCAGTTTCTAGGTCTAATATAGTTGAAAACAAAAATTAAATTAAAAACAATGACTGTCCATAGGATACTTTAAAACTTCCAGTTGTAAGCGCAGATAGAACTTTTAAAGATTACTTCATACACAAATAAACCGAGTACTCATTTAACTATTTTAGATGTTTCAATATAACAAAATGAAACAGAGAGGACTTCAAGGCAAAAATGATTCCGAGAGGCTACGTGGAGAGGACTTCAAAGAGATGACCGGGTGTCAGAGAAGGGCCTGATTGACAACCATGCATGGTAGACAAGCAGGCAGCAAGCAGGAGTGTCTGACCAGGGCCTAAAACAATAAAATGACACGAATGCAGGCCTTAGCAAGTTAACAAGCGACCAGAGTGCAGGAGAGCAGAACAGACACATCACAGTTTCTTCACTCACACAGTGAGCAGGGGCTCACTTCACAGCAAACCCAACACACCCTGTGCTGCGTCTAATCACTTGTTCAGCAGGCCGTAGTGGTGGCCTATATCCAGCACAGCACCAATGATTTGTACAACTACACTGAAGGGAAGCAAGAAGCACCCTTCCAAAAAAAAAAAAAAAAAAAAATCAGTGGGTTTTTCTCATTTGGTGCTTGGTAACCTAGTTTCTGGGCTGGCTGAAGAAAAATAACAAAGTGCCTGATTTTTCAGTGCTGGGTCATTTCTAGAAGAAATAACTAGATGAAAGGATACCCATCAAAAGTCTTTTAGAGTTAAACCAGGGCAATTTTCAGTTGTTTGGATGAATAACCTTAATTCCTGTTAATATAAGCTGTGTTTGCCCTGTAGTAGAAGATCTAAATGTATTGTGATGCAAATTTAATTTGGTTGAAAGCTTGCAATGCCACTAAAATTCTGACAACTGCAAGTTTAAACACCTTGAAAGCTAGGACTGAATAAACCT